CTGCTTTATTATTATAATCATTTTAAGTCTAATATTTTGTTTAAAAAAATCGGCAGTTTACACAGTTTCAGCAAATGCGTTTAATTTTTTTTCAATGAAAGCTATCAGCATGCAAATTAGTTCAAATCTACGTGTATTTCTAAATTACTTTCTTTTAATTATTTAGTTATTTATAGTATTGATATATTTATAAAAATATATATGTAAATATAAAAATTTCAAACATGCCTTTCACATTTTTGACAGCGTATTTACAAGTGCTAATAAACTAATTGATATATATCGAATTTACATAAATAATGCCAGTTCAAAGAACTTTAAAGAATGTCAATATATTGTAATTAAATTATAATTATATGAATATAATGAAATTATAGAGTCGTTTGAATACGCATAAATAAAATTTTAAACTTAACTGCCATCGAATAACTTTAGTGCTATGTATAAGAATAATACAAAACAGTGTAAAATTGTCTGAAAATAGATAATAAGTGAATAAAATCTAATTTAAATACCTCAATATCTCCGCTTTATTGTATATACGTACCAAACCAAAATGAAAAATAAAAATGGATTTATTTAACGAATTAGTATACATCTTTGTAAAAATCAATTATATTTATTAAAACGTTTTTTATTATTTTTATTGGATTTCTAATTATTTATTAGCTTACGCTAATGAAGAGATTAATTCAAATTCTATGTTCAAGTTCTATCTGAACTAAGACTTCAAATTTGAATAATCCATTATAGCGAAAGTTACTTCTATCATCTTATACAGAAGTTGCTTTTGGATTTCATACATATTTGTTAAGAAAAGGTTATAAAATAGAATTATACATATAAGTTGGAAATACAACATGGATTTATTCATAATCCAATGGTGCGCTAAGTATTTAATCTACTTCAGAGCTTTGGAGAAAATTATCTGAAGCGTAGTTTTGTTATGATATAATGTGCGCATCAAGAATTTTAATATGCAATATTAAATCTTTATAGGTATTTTAGTATAATAACTGATAATGTAATATGATGAAAGAAGATCAAAAATAACTGATCTGAGGATAACAAAATTTGCCTGCCTCGACAACAAAATTATACATCTCAAATAAATTTTTTATAAAAGCAAAAAATATCAATTAATGACAATAAATTAAAATATTTAATGAGTTTCGTAAAACATCTATTAGTTAAATTATTTCAATATTCAATCAGTAATTAGTTTTAAGCTAAAGTCCTTTGTATTTTATCAAAGTGCATAATTAAAATCGATTGCGTACCAACAAACAATTGGCTTAAGTTATAAAAATCTACTAATTTTAATCTTACTAATTTGCAAATAGCCTATTACATGAATTTGATATTTATCATTAATTTATTTCCAACATGAATAATATTTAAGTTATTCAAATATGCAAGCGTCTCACTTTCTTCGGACTGCTAAAAAAGTTAATGCACTCTGCATCCAAATAAGTTTATTATCTTGTTATATAATATAATATTTATTAGGTGACAGTATTATGTTTGATATTTATACTTTCTATTGAAATTCACACTATTTTATTCATATTAAGATAAGATAATTATCTAAAAGTATTAAATATTCATTAAAAAAAATTATATGGTTCAACGTTTAATAAATTAAGTAATCCGTTGTTAGTTATTTGTTTACCTCAACTAATATTTTTGTAGATATATAAACTAGTGGGGTATATGGCATCGTGCCTTAAGGCAATTGCTAGAACTTCCCGTACCGTAACAAAATGTGCGAGGAATATTGAATGCTTTAAAATAGATTATTATAAATATTGTCTAATATTTATAAAAATTATATAAACTGAATTGCAAAGATAAAATTAATTGTTTAAAGTATATTAGAACTTTAGTCAGAATTAAATATAAAATCTGAATTATTTTTTAATTTAAACAATTTTTTTTCCAAAATCAATTATTTTGTTAAAACAAGCAGAAAGTTCTTTGAATCATTTGAATCGGACGCTTAGTTCTCTCAAAAACTGCCATTTTTTGCACATTTAGCTCTGTATCTTCAAAATGACTGGGCCTGCCTTTGCCAAAAACTAATCACCATTTCTCCCCGTCATTACAAATTGAATGTTATTTGGATCATTCAAATCCGATGCTCCGATCTCTCAAAAACTCGATTTATACGTCGAGAAATGTAAAAAAATTCAATTTCGATTTTTGGACGATTACAATACCTACGTACCCTAGTAACTTATTAATCATTGTCTTATATTTTTAAAAAATTGAAATATTAATTAAATTTAAAAAACAATGAAACAAATTATAATCATAGATTCTTGTATAAATATTGAAAATATTGAAGAAAAAATGTTCTTAATCTAAAATTCAAGATTTTGTTCTATCATTTTTATATTCTAGTTGAGTTGGTAAATTTTCCTATGATGTCATTCCGATGCATGTTTTAAAAATAAATGCTAAAGTTAGTTTTGTGTAAAAATACAAGATAAAATTTCATTTCAAAGAGCGTTGCTTACATACGTCTAATGTCTGTTTTTTTTTTATCAAATTACGGTATTATGTATAATATATTTTATTAGAAGATGTTAGTACCTTATACGTAGTAATTGTAATCTGAAAAAAACTTCTGCGTATAGTAATTGCAATGATAGTGTATTGACTCTTTAACTAAAAGATCCCAAGGTTTACCGAACGTTTTATCAAAGGTTTCAGGAAAACCCCTGCAATTTCATTAAATTTGTTCTCGATAAAAATTTGTTTGCATTCCTTGCAACTTCTTGTGTAACATGCTGTGGGCGACATGTGATCCAATATATTGTAAGATAACACCTATTAAATAATATTCGTCGTTTGAAGTCAAGCTCGCTATTATACGTCTGAAAAGCCCAGAAGCACGCCCATAAGCTAATCACGTCTACTTGTAAGAATAATTACAACATACACTGTTGTTAAAGTTCCTAATATTGATTTAATAATCCAATTTTGCATGTTATTATTCATATCTCAGCAATTAGCATATTTTATGACTCTTAGCCATAAATCATAGTACAATGTTATATTTATGTGAAATTTTGTTTTCAAGCCTAGTAATTAGGTTATACCGAGCACGACCAATAAAGGTTTATTGCAATGCCTAAGGCATACGTCTGTCAGTCACCTTTGCCGTATCGTATGCTTAATAGCAAACTATGCTTGTCTAGACTCCGATGCGTATCGTTTGACCTCTTGCTCGTATGCTTTATTATATTTGCATACTTCTAAGCTTTAAAGATAATAGAATTTGTTTTAAGAGGATGACAACTTTTATGATGAGGCGAGCTTTACACTCTATACAAAAATTACTGTACAAAAGACATATTTTATTAAAAGTGAAGCAATTCTGTACTCCATGAATCCATCTCATACTTACTTATTTTTTACTGCATATAGGAACTTATTTATTTGAATATTATGATAAAGTGCAAAGCAGACTTATAGCAGTCATCTTACTACCCGTTCGTTGAGATATGAAGAGTTGAATAGTCAATGCAACATTCATGCAATTACTATACGTGAAAGTTTTTTCAGAGAATAAAATACTAGGTATATTAACATTTTCCTATTAAGTATATCATATTACCATAATTTGATTGAAAAACATAATCTATCATCAGTTGGTTTCTATAGGACGAAAGGTCTCAAGTTATAAAATCCGAAACTTATCATACTAATCTCTTATATTATTTTAGTTTATTAAATTATTAAAAATAAATAGTGCTTTTCCTATAATTCAACTTCATGAATTTCTTATAAATCAAATACCTTGCATGTAGCTAACTATTTAATATAACTGTAAAATATCAATTTGTAACAAAAAGCATAACTTACAATTAGTGTTAGTTTGTCTGTTTGATGTCGAGGATGACCCGAAGTAAAATAAAAATCTACGGCACTGAACTTTCGTGACTGAGAAAATGTTTACAATAAATGGTTTTAATGTTGAATAAAAAAATGTCCTATTTGTGATCACATTTTTCGTAATACACATACACATATCCTGTAAAGCGAGAAATCTATTAAATATAGATAGCAATTTGTTACAGCGTTAACAAAGCATGGCCTATTATTAGTTTTCACCAGTGATCGAAGAAAACGTAAATCAACTCAATTATAATATGCAGATTCTACAGTATTAATCTTTTGTGGATAAGAAAACTGTTTTCTTCAATTCGAATTAATGCAGAAATATTTACAAAAATTAGTAATATTGTATAAAAAATTAATTCCCTGCATACAAAATATCATAACATAACTTATTACTGAAAGCAAGACTTACATATTGTTAGTTTCTCTCTTAGCCTTAATTATAAAATTCAGAACCCACCGCACTAATCTCTTGTGATGCTTAAACGTGTTTTCACACCTTAATTTGAGGCAAAATTTTATACTAACTTTTGTAATATTATATTATAAATTACATCTAAAACTGAGTTATACGCGTACTTTATATGAATAACTGCTGTTGAAAGTTACATAAATGTCTTATTGTTGGAAACGTTGAAACAATGCAAGTGATGTTTATTATGTCCTACAGTACCGAGTCGAGAGTTGCCTGGAACGCGTTCAATCAAGTGCCGCGCGAAATTGAATTAATTCTACCGAAACCCATATGCGTCGCGGGTCGATACATTATGCGGGGTCATTTTCTGGGTCTCGGGCCTCGGTTGTCTCATTGTCAGAATTAGATCATTTACCGCCCAGAGAAAAGTGTTGAAAGAGACCGCCACGAATGGGGCGCGGTCCACGAATGGGGCACACTTGGCGGGTGATGTGACATCATTGGAGATTTATTCGGTTGGGGACGAATTGCGTAATCCATCTCGCGTTGCGTTATCGATGTAGATCGAGACTTCGTTCTCCCGATGTATAAAAGTCTCGATCAAAAATGAATGGACCACATTTGAATTCGAAGTGTTTAGACGTTCGATACAATCGCAACAAATCAATACAACCGCGAAATGGCTTTTAAGGTAAGCGTTCGAAGTTTTATTTTATAAAAATATATATAAAAAGTGATACGGCTCCTTCGAAGTGATTTGTCTTGTTTAAGCAAGCTGCGCTAGTAATGGAAGTACGTCTAAAGTGCCTTTGACTGTACGAAAAGTGTTTTTGAATAGAAACGCGCCCCATGTGTATTTTGGGTGATAATTGACTCGTTTATTTAGTGTAATCAATAAAAATACGTGACTGAACTAATAATTGATTTATTAGTATGCGAATGTTTCAATTGCGATTTATTAAGTTCGAAAATGCAACCCTTGTGCTTAAACGGATAATTTAATACAAAGTGATGAATTCCTTTTATACCCAAGTTGATTAATTTCTATAATATTTTTACTTGTCAACTATTTATTTAATTTTTATAGATATGCACAGTTATATTCTGAAAGCTCATTACCTTTAAAAAATAGTTTAAACTATATTCGTACAGGTAGAATTGCTACTATAATATTTTTGGCAAATTCTGGAATTATGTGACATCAATAATCATTTAAATTTTGAACATAAATATTATCTTGGAACACTGATTCATTGCTATGTGTTCTTTATATTATATATTAAGATCATTTTTCAAATTTATAAATGATAAATAAACTATAAACGCATTTCATTTATATATAAAATAAATTATAAACGCATTTCGTTTAAAATAAATAAATTAAAAATTATCATTAGAGATTATGTAACTTCATTCTCAAAATAATCTAACATTAATTTATTATCACGTGTATTGTTCGAATACATTTCTTTACATATGATTGAATTTCTCATGAATCATTGCTCTTAATGCAAACTCTTCCAAGCGAGCACCTTTGACTCGAATATTTTTTGTAATGTGCCTCCCATAAACAAAAAAGGTAGATAAATTAAATGTAATTTTTTGCCGAGTTCGTAATCTGTTGATCTTGTTTTGGAAAGTAAATGATCTTCTTCCTTGCACGAAGTTTTATCATGCGAACAGAAATATATAATTTTTCAATATCACGAAGCTCGCATACACTGCTGAATTAGAAAATACACATTGCTTAATAAATAAATTCGGGAATTTGGCCGGCGCGTGCAAAATAAAATATGTTTTCGGTGGCAGACGGTGCTAGGCTCGCATATATCTGAGTAATAAATATTCAATGGAAAACCTTATATTTTCGGCTCTTATCGGCATATAGTAGGATATAAATCGCAAATTGAGTTATATCCAGCGTGATCGTGATCTTTTAATGATTCATCAGACGAGGTTTACTAATATATGAGTATTATAAAACTATAATTCGATTAAACAAAAATTATATATAAAAATGTAATGCAATTAAAGAAGCAAGAAAGCTATGTACGATTAATAATTTTATGTCACGTTCATGAACTGAAAAAAATATTAATTTTTTGTGAAATACATGTATTTTGTTTATCTGGTACCCTTTGACGCGATCAAAAATAGAGAAACTACGATAGAGTTTATTACATTGTTAGAAAATAGAAAACCTAGTAGACCTTCTAATCAAGCATAAGTGTTTTTCTAGGAATTCGAGGTAATATTTGCAAATTTGGCAATTTCGTTTACACAGTTTCACAGTGAGTTTCAATACGTAGTTTTATATAAGATGTCTGTGAATTATTCCATGCACGTCCAATCGCATAAATAAATGTAATGCTTCGTTAGTGTTCATTAGTGTTAAACGGTTGCTTAGACAGTTTAGAACCCTCTACGAGGTAAACAAAATGAAGCACGATTTTGGGTATGTAATAAAGGTCTGCAACCAAGCAAAAATACAAATAAAGCAATGCGCATAATGTATCCGAAACGAAATGAATCCATATATTACGGCACCTTGAACAAAAATGAAAGTCTTTTTCTTTGTGAGGGAAAATAATAGGATAAGATATTGGATTATATTCTGTCCTATCCCACACAGATCTTGGAATGTATATAGCCTATACAGATATAGCATTTTTGTTTATCATAAAAGATTTAATATAAATATTTTTAACGACTGAAGTTAACTCTCTACGTTAAAAATGTGATTAAGATTTTTTTATTAGTATATAATACTAATCGTTAAAATTAAATGTATTTTAGTTCATCTGCTTTGCAAGTGTTTTGGCTTTTGCCAGCGCTATAGAGCCAACAGCACAATACCACAAGGGAGCCTACGGCGTAGTACCTACTGTGTACAAAACCCACGTCGTCGAAGCTGAAGCGCCCGCACAATACGAATTCCAATACTCCGTAAACGATCAACACACCGGTGATGTCAAAGAACAAAAGGAAAGCCGCAATGGAGATTCAGTCCGTGGACACTATTCCCTCATCGATGCCGATGGTCACAAAAGAACAGTAGAATACAGCGTCGATGGAGACAGTGGATTCGTAGCTGTAGTACACAGAGAACCAGTACATGGATACGCCCCAGCTAAAGTTGTAACCAAAGTAGCTGCTGCTCCAGTATACCAGGCCTACCAAGCTGCACCAACTCACGTTTATCAACAACAATACGAAGCACCAAAAGCTGCCCCAGTTGCTTACCAAACCTACTCCGCCCCTGCTGTTGCTAAAGTAGCTGCCCCAGTTGCCTACCAAACTTACACCGCCCCAGCTGTTGCCAAAGTAGCTGCCCCAGTTGCCTACCAAACTTACACCGCCCCAGCTGTTGCCAAAGTAGCTGCCCCAGTTGCCTACCAAACTTACACCGCTCCAGCTGTTGCCAAAGTAGCTGAACCAGTAGCCTACCAAACTTACACCGCCCCAGCTGTTGCCAAAGTTGCCACTCCAGTAGTGTACTCTCAAGCTCCAGTACACCAACATGGATACGCCACCCACACTGCTCCTTTGAGTGCATTCAAGACCGTAGCTGCACCAGCCCCTGTTGTTAAAGTTGCTGCTGCCCCAGCTCCAGTTTACCAACAAGTTCACGCCGCTTCGGTTGCTAAAGTAACTTACCAACCAGTTGCTAAAGTAGCTGTCCCAGCCGAAGGACACTCATACGTTACATACTCAGGACCCAACTCAAGTTACCAATACTAGATTGGTATTAAGAAGTTGTTAATTTTCATCAAGTATTATGTACATTTTTCATACGCTTATGTATTTTTATTCATACTGATTTGTATCTATCATTTTGTTTATATTGAAATATATTATAGTATTTATATTTAAAATTAATTGGTTGCTGTTTTTATTTTTGTTCATCATTCACTTTAGCATATTGTGTTTATTTAATAATAATCGTTTTCACAATTAAATCAATAATATAATGAAAAGTGGAAGCACAAACCAATAACAATTTGTTCAAAAGTTTGTAAAACAAACAACGTTTGAATAATCATGGAAGCACATATAAAATAATTTAATAATTATGAAAAGCTAATAGTTTCCACAATAATCATATATTTTTTATCTTAAGTGAATACAAACTGAATAATCACAAGAAATGCGCCATGTAGATTTAGAATATGATTTAATTTATAATCATGCATGAAGAAAATTCTACCACATTCTGCTCCAATTTTAGATACCAGAGAAAAGTTAGTTAATCTTACAAAATTAAACGAGAGCAAACTAACGTCATATTTAAAACTATGGTGGAAGTGGAATACATAATGTTTGAGTTCAATATTTTAATGAAGGGTTTCTATGAAAATTATGCACCTTGTCGTAGCTCATAATTATAACTTTTTTTCTTTTGTGTGTATTAAAATCAAACAAGTTCATCGTACTTTTACTCTTACATCATATTATCCATGTATTTAAATATTTATCATTCCCTTCACCTTTTAATTATTATTTAACGATAAAGAAAGGAAAATATAATTTACGTAACATGATATCTTGAAACACAAAACCTCTGCATTATATCCAGTTGCTCATGAATCCTTTCACCATAATTATGCTAACAAATCTTTTTGCACCTGAATCTGAGTAAAACACATTATTTCAGGATTTACTCATTGAAGTTACAATAATCCTGAATAATTTTGTCGTAAAGTAAGTAATTTTAAATAGTCCGAATATCTTTTAAACGTTTTCTTTTGTTACGTTAAGAGTGCGAGAGACGGTGATGTAATGGCCTTATGAATTATTCCATCTCGCTTGGTCCGACGAGAGGGAACGCTTGGAGACAAAAATGAGCTGGAGCAAATGATGTCGTTATTAGCATTGTCGCCGCAATTCAAATGGAAGCGATAAATCAGTTGGAAAAATTAAAAATCTAAAGAAAATGGAATGGAATATACGGCAATAAATAACGCAAGCATATTCTGACCGCTTTGATTTAAATAAGAACGATGTACATCAGTGTTAAAAAATTAGAATATAAATAAGGTCGGATACTATCGTACATATACCAATACCTGAAGGATTAAATATGATAGTTTTAGTCAATATGTGACTAACAAATTCCTGATTCAAATTTAAATAGTCTCAATTGTGCTCGTATATTGAAAACGAATGCTTCAAAATAAAAGCTTAAAGTTTTAAATTTTTGCAATTTTTATTTTAACAAGTATTTTAATAATCTTGAAAGTTTATTTGAAAACCGTTTGAACAATCTTCAATAAATGTTAATATGTATAACTGAATATTGAAATAGTATAGGGCGGTACACAAAGATCCACTTTGACCTAAAGCAATTACAATTATATTGTAAAACAATTATATCACAATAAATAATTCATATTCATCAAACAACTACCTGACTATGTTCAGTAAAACTTCCAGCTAATTCATCACTATAGAAATGTGCTTTTTGCTGTTTTTCAACAAATTGTCTCGTAAGAGTGATAAAATGAGACGGCCAGGGGGCAAACATGTTCAATGTTTTATTTTAAATTTTAAAGGAATTTTGCGAAATAATAGCTACACTATTTAACTATAAAATATCAATTTTATGGGTACAGAGATAACACTGTATATAACCTTGATCTAGTGTTTTGTCTGAAATATTTATCAGCAGATTTGGAAAAACTAATCAATTAATTTATCTCTTGTAAAACTGATTTTTATTTAATTTACTTTGTAAGACTTTAATTTACTTTTTATATATTGTTGTTAAAAAAATCTTAACTTTACTTGATTTTGAGATATTGGTGGTGGATCTATGTACCCGCAACCTTTTAAGACCCGCTCCGCCTTATTTAATAATACAAGTTCAACATGTAAAAGCTACTTTTGTAAAATTATTTTATATTATATTGATTTGCTATATATAAATATGATATATATATATATATATATATATATATATAATTTTATTATTCGTTGTTTTAATAGACATATATCTAATAAACAAAGCTGCAATTTGAATGACGTGTTCTGTGAAACTCATTGGATTAATTACTTTTCGTTGTTTGCGTAAAATTTAATCATACTTGTAGCAAAATGCATTTATATCAATTTTATGTTTGTGGAAGTTATTCTATAATAAAAAATCAATTTCATATATTTTGAATTTCCAATTTAATTTGAAAGCTTTATTAAGAACCAAGCACTCACTGAGAATTTCCTAAATAGTATAGATACCCACAAGCATTTGTAAATTTATTAATATCATTCTATTAATATATTCATATGATTTTTTTCTATGAAAGTATCTTAAATTTTCCATTGCACGAACCAAGTTTTTGTCACGAAAATCTGGAAAGTCAAACAAGCTTGATTCGAATTTTTATTTCACATTTTCGTTTATGCAAATAGTAAAGCAAACATTGAACACGAATCTCATGTACCAGACGCAGATGTTTTCTATAATTTAAACATAAATCTTCGACAACAATTTTACTGTTTGTACAAAAAACACGTTTCCTATTTTATATGTGCAAACTCGCTGCTATTAAATTACACGTATTGTCAGTTTTGAATCAGTTGGTCATAATTTGTGAAGATAATATTTTCAAGAGTACAGGATGAAAGTGATATACGTTTTTGTATTTATTTGCTTCTATCAAATATATTTAACAGGTAAGAGACATAGATGCTAGAAATATCTCAAGTGATTATTAAATCTGTATCAATTGAAATATTATTAATTGACAACGATAGCTTTCTTACTTTTGAAAAAATTCCAAACATGAGCCTTCATGAATATTATAGTAGCTTTTTAGATCATAAAGTGTACATTATATGTAGGCTATTCTTCTTAAACTTGTAAGGGGATAAAAAGGGCATGTACCAGGGAAACGCTTATAGAATTATTTATGAGCTGTTGAAGTCAAGCATTTTGCACTAAGCGCACGAAAAATAATTCAATTTAAAAAAAATTAAATTATATGTTTCACAAAAAATGTCAAATATGTATAACAGTTCATAGTAAATCACACTTTAATGATAATTTAAAAATGATACATTTAGTTATTAAAGCTTTACATTGAATTATACAGAGTGTTGACATTTTTAGTGATTTCTTCCATCAAAAGTTAATATCATTAGAATAATAGTCTGTAAAATTCTTTCAACATTTATTTAGTTTTACTCCTAATATTTATTCATGACTTTAACTTAAACTATTAATTTGGTTAAACAAATATTAAGTTTTAATAATAAAATAATTGCTGTATCAAATGTATCAATGTATGTATCAACCATTATGCTAGTTACACTTGTTACACAAATATTTTTTATCTTAAAAAAATCTTTCAAAAATATATGTAGACAAGAATAAAATTGTGATCAGCTAAGGATTGTGAAAACATATGAATTGTTTCAAGAATTCAAAATGAAAATTCTACAAAATATATAAGTGTTATTAAAATCATTGTTAATTTTTTAATTAATTATTAAATTTAATTAATATTTAATTTAATTTAATTACATTTGTTCAAAATATGCTTATTATAGACGTTGCAAGTGAATATTAAAGCCGATATTTAATGTTTTATCTGTTGTATAACTTTAAAACCATCAATTTTTAATAGGCATATCCTAACTCAAGATATAATAAATTGGCTTTTAATGTATGTATACATCATCAAAATTTCTTAAACGTTTCACATAAAATCGTTATTTGATGTCTCTGTCTGCAAAAAATAATGCCATAAATATCTTTCTATTACATATTTAATATCTTTTTGCTGAAATATGGAATCCAACAATAGGGCACAAATATTTCGCATCATTTGGCTCTTAAATCATTTGAAATCATATTTGTAAAGCAGAAAGCTTTCTATGCACGAGACACTGAAATTTTGGACTATATCAAGAGTACACATAGATATAATTAATGATACATGTAAACCATTCATCAAATAGAAACATCGATCATTCAAGTCTAGATAGATTTTCGCCGTAGATTCCACACTAAATTATAGGCTATATTACCTTTAAGCCGAATATTATTTAATAGGCTGATAATCCATTAATTAAAATTATTAAACGCCATGACACAGAAATATTGACTAAATTCTTGATCTTAAAAACTAATTTGTTATTTTTGTAAAAAATCCTCTTTATAATATATCGCATGCGAACTGACAAAATAAAAATGTTTGAATTATTTTTCAATATTACACACGTGTAGAAGATTTATGGCTTCGAAACACAGTACGTTTCATTTGCGGAATACAATAGAATTTCAGCCTCGACATAATCAATTTGTAAAAGCTTATATAATCGCTAAAAATTAATAAAAAAAACAATAATGCGAACATGAAAAATGCTAATAATTAAAATGAAAGCATATTTTTCTACAAAATAATAAATCCTTTATTAAATTATTTCACCGGCATAAATTGTATGTATGTTATGAAAATATTTAATTATTATTTTTCATTGCACTAAAAAAATTACTAGCCATATTATTTATAGTCATAGAAGATTTAACTCATAACACCTTAATAAAAAATTCATTAAGGTCAAATATTTTTTGCAATCAACCATATGTTATTTATATTTATTTTAAAAATAATTGAAAAATCTGAAATTATAATACAGAAAAAGAGCTTAAAGCACAATATGATTTTATGTGAGCAGCAACTTGCAATTCATTTTTTAAAATAACGAAACATATATTTGAACCAAAGATTTTTTTTCAT